GTTCTATTTTCACACAAACTTTTTGAAGCCGCCTTATTATAAACTGAACATGTTTAAATTGTACTGCATGATAATTAATGACATGCAGCCAACTATGAAATCACAATCATTATTAAATCAAAGAATATTTTCATGAACCTCTAGAAATATCATGTGTCCCCTCTGAATCCTTTCCCCAAGCTTTCTCCCAGAATGCTGGCTAGGAGAAGCCATCCCCAGCATCACTGGCTTTTCCTAATTTTACAAGGGAAAACAGGAGGTTTTGAATATTAAATGCCAGGTGGGCTTTTTCTGTCCATAAACTTCTTCAGGTTGAGAAGCTTTCCTCCTGTAATTACATTCCGTGGAGGGGGTGGGGGGGGCCTTACTTTTAAGTTTCTTTTTAAAAAAAATACAATTCAGGTTTGTCAAATACTCTCCCTATATATATTAAAAGAATCATTAGATTTTTCTCTTTCAGCGTGTAAATATGATATGTGTATATGCATATCTATACATATATATGTACTGTATACATTTATTTATTTAAATGCCAAAGCAACCTTCGTATTCCTGGTATGAATCCACTTGGTCATGGTTTTGATCATGTTACTTTTTATATTTGTCTTCTTAAAGTTTTATTTAAGGAGCCTGCAAACCACAAGGTCAGCATTTCAAAATCACCAGGGGTTCCTCAGGAGAAAGATGAGGCTCTCTAATCCTGTGCACAGTTACAGTCTCAGAAACCCATATGGGTGGTCCCAGTCTGCTCTATGGGATCGCTATGAGTCATAGCGATGAACTCATAGTGAGTTCATGTGGGGGAACCACTCCACTCCTCCTCCCCCTTCAGTAGCATAGTGAGTTATGGGTTTTGCTGCTAACCTCGAAGTCAGCAGTTTGAACCCACCAGCCACTCCATGGGGGAAAAAAATGAAGTTTTCTACTCCCATAAAAATTAGAGTTTCAGAAACCCAACGGGGGCAGTTCTACTTTCTCCCATTGGGTCACTATGAGTCAGAATCAACTTAATGACTGTGAATAATCCATTGTAAATATATTTTTTTAAATATGCTCATAAGGAGTATTAGCTGGTAGGCTTTTTGCTTTGTTTTTTCCTTGCTATGTCTTTAATAGGTTTTAGACTTTGAGTGACTTCAGTGTCATAGAATGAGTTTGGGTAGGATCCTTATTTCACTTAAAATATTGGTAATATTTTATATATAACCAACCACTGAGCTGTTCCATGGGAGAAAGATGGGACTTTCTGTTCCCATAAAATTTTCAGTCTCAGAAACATACAGTGTTTCCTCTCACCTACTTTGGACATATTGTCAGGAGACACTGGCCCCTGGAGACATGCTTGGTAACGTAATGGGACAGTACAAAGAGGAACAGCTTAGAAAAGATGGATTGACACAGGGGCTACATTGACGGGCTCAAACATAAAATCAATGGTGAGAATGGTACCGGGGAGAACAGTGTTTTCTTCCGTTGCACATAGGTTCACTAGGAATCACAACTGAGTTGAGGACACCTTACAACAGCAATAATTGTTCACTTGATTTCATCTTGATCAGTAACTAGTTGAATCCTATTATATATCTTTGAACTTTGATGTGTGGCCCAGAAAATCCTCCATATTGCTAAGTGTTCTGTGTGCAGATGGAAAAATGTGTCTTTGACTCTTGTTGGATAGTGTGCTTTATAAATGTTAATTAATTAAATTGACAAAGTTATTAAAAACTCTTTAACTTTACTGATTTTTTTTGTCCAGCTTTCTATCAATTATTTAGTAAGGTATATTTCATCTCTGGCTTTAAATCTCCTTGATTTTTATCACTGTTTCTTCATGTATTTTTAAGTTTTGTTATTAGATAGATGAAAGTTTAAGTTTCCTATACTCTAAGAATGAATTGGCCACAATATCACTTTGAAATGATATTTTTCTATAATAAAACTACTCTACAGGAAATATGTTTCTTAAGAGTAGTGTTAGTATGGCATATCTTTTACTTTTAGTGCAGTGATATCTTTGTATATGAAGGATTTTTTTGGTAAATATCTTACTGTTGAATCTTCCCTTGTTATTCAATTTTTTACTCAATACCTTTTAACTAAGATTTTTGTTTTATTTGAATAAGATTACCACTATAGTCCAGTTTAATTTTTTTTATCTTTTCCATTTGTGTTTTTTCATTCTTTTCTTCTTTAACTACCTTCTTTTTAGTGATTATATTTTTAATATTCCATTTTATCTTCATGGTTGTCATTAGTTTTAGCTCTTTCTTTTATTATAATAACAATAGGTTTTATACTACTTACACTTAACTTTCTATATAAAATACCCAGAAATTACTAGGTTTTCCAGTATGGTTGGTAATAATGGGAACTCTTACCTAGTCAGTATAAAATTTCCTTATTGTTGCTTTTAATATTTCATCATATTTTTATATGCTTGTAAATTCCCATACTTTCCTGGATATCAAAAATCAAGCAACACTCTTGTAGATTTATAATAATGTAGTTCTTTTTATTGGATGGGGTTCTAAGTTGGTATATACTTTTTATTTATCTTAGAAACCACAACTTCAAGACTTCAATATTACTATAATTGGTTCTCAACAGTTGAGGTTAGTATATTTGTCTACATTCATAGACAATGAAAAGAAAACCTCACACATAAATTTATAAAAGCAATGTTAGTTTATTGTCAATAATATATGTGTATCTCTGCAATGGGAATGTTGTTCTTTGAGAGGAAAGGGATATTTTGCTTTATTCATTGTTATATCCTCAGCATGTGGAGAGTGTAAAGAACATACTACAAATTTAATATGTTTTTGTCTCATAACTGAATGGGATATCAGGCTCAAGTTTTCTGATTCTAAATCCTCAATATGCTCTCATTTCACTGTCATGTATATTCTCATCAAATTAATCTAAATAATTATGATTTCTCTTTTTTTCAATATAGTATTTTAATATTTTCTTTAATTGAATATAGTCTTCATTTGGGTACTAACTTTAAGTAAATACATGTAGAGGAAAGCAAAATATAAATGAAGAGTGGAATAAAAACCAAAATGATAAAAATGAACAAAATTATACTAAAAAGAAATTTATGTTTATATTGGAAACTAAGGACATATTTTTAAAATATTTAAAATAGTATTTTAAAATAGGTTTAAAATATTTGAAAAACAGTCACAATATTTTATATCTTCATGATATCCAGCAACCAATTAGAGGAAACCTGTTTAATTTTCTAGGGATCTGATCATGTTTAGTACCATTGGTTGCACTGTCTTTTTCTCCTTGGTATCTATCTATGTCAAGTATCACATATATATGTGTGTGTGTGTTTTATTTATCTGTTTATTTCATTTCCTGGTGATATCCTCCTTTATACACTGATCCACAAGCTTAGCAGGTAAGAAGGAAACGGGGTGTAATTTAAGAAAGAGAAAGGAAAAAGTTAAGAAATGAGATCATAGATATTAGCAATATTATTATGTTACTTTGTTTCTTCTCATTAATCTCAATACTTAAGAAATATTGGTTAATGAATGAGTAAACAGTAGTATTATCATTATATCTAAATGTAAAATCCAATTATTTAAAACATTTTGATAAACTAAGCAACATGGGTGTTGCAGTGGATTAAGTTTTGAGCTGCTAATTATTAGGTGCATCATAGGAAAAACATGGGTTTGCTGGCTCCCGTAAGGATGTACGGTCTGGAGTTCCACTCTGTCCTATAAGGTCACTGTGAGTGGGCATAAACTCAATAGCAATGAGTATTGCATGGATAAACTGACTGAAAAAACAACAACTATTTTATTCATTTTGAGAACTATGATTTGTAACAAGTTTTAGCGCTCAAATTTCCCAATTGGCTGTGCAAAAATGTACCAATGAACTCATGTTAAGATTACATAATAAGAAAAATTGCATAATAAATATGAGAATAATAAAATAACATTAATGATGCTTTCAGACATTAGGCCATTAGGAAGTTCAAAGGTAAAGTAATATATCAAGTTCATTCTTATACTTCTAAAATAACTGAAATCATAAAAATTTGGTGTCTTATTTCTAAGTTTTCACATTTTTTCATATAGCATCATATATTTTTTAATGTGAATTTTTAAAAATTTACTTTCTCATTGTGAAATTAAGACATAACTTTAACTTCATATATAAAATATCTAATTTTTAATACTTTTATTATACAAATAATTAGACAAAATCATAGAAAATTTAAATACTTTACACTAAATTTTTAGAGGAAGAAAAACCATTATTATTAAATTACCTTTTTTTATTAGAAACACAACTATATGCAGTTTAGATAAAGGGGAAAAAGCATATCAATTCTTAACTAAATTTTAGCATTGTGGCATATTAATATGTCCATAATTAAAATTTCGAAGACAGAAAAATAGTAATATTATTTATGGCATATGTTTCCTAGGATCTTATTTGCCAGAATAACTGCTCTTATACTTGGAGAGAAATCTAATAAAAGAGTTTGCATAATTAAAAATTAATCATGTTACTTAGTGTTCTACCCAGAATTCTTTTATAAATGTGTCACATTTAAAGATATTTTAAAGTACTTAGTATTTAAGAATGCTGTCAGTAAGCAATTTCAAATTCAGTTCACATTATCCATTCCAAATTTCAATTTAAAAACACAAAACAATTTAGTAGGATATTGTTTTCCTTAAATAAAATTTTTCTTAGTTAAAAATAATTAAAGACCCAGATGTATTTTCTCTTTAATCAAATAATTATATTCATAACTTAAAAAATGCCTATCATCCGCTTCACAGTAAATATTACATGCAATGAAACTCTAGCAAAGCTTCTAAATATGTATTAGAATTATCAACTGATCAGTAATTTTCATCACTTCAGAAAAAAGAAAAAGATGTGATAGGAAAGTAGTGGGTCTGATATGTGCATGCTACAGCATAGTATGTTCAGTGTCAAAAAATAAAGTAAAATGCAATTACCCTAAAAGACATTTCAAGATTCTCTCCACCCCAGATATCCATTCCTGCATCGTAAGTTCCTATCTCTTCAAAGTAGTTTCTGTCAATAGAAAATAGGCCACCAGCCATAGTAGGGGTCCTAGTTGAAAAAACAAAAAGAAAAGAATATCTTTTGAAAACAATGTGTGGAGTTTCATGAGACTGTAGCAAAGTATTTCTGAGACATTTTAAATTAAAAAAAAAAAGTTCTCAAAAATCTCAAACTGGAAATTTAAAGTTAAGTTTAAGAGATTGTAAAAGTTACAAACAGCATTTTATTTCACATTTTCCATAGAACTAAGTTTAGATGAGTCTACATTTTTCTTAAAATAATCAAATAGATAAATTGAATGAGTGCTGATCATTTAAGACTGAGACATCTACCACCCTTATAAAAGGTGTAGTAAAGATAATTTATTTCCTTTAGCCCTGCCCTTAACATAATGAGCTGATCAGGAAATTACAAGCCGTAGTCTTTTGTCACACAGTTATAACTAATTTTAATGTGAACTCTAGACATGGTTTTACTAAGAAAAGATGAATCACCTATTCCATTATGAAAATTGTTAAATGTTATAAAGTATTTATAGGAAATAAGTATCTAATGATTATTATAAAATATTCTTAACATAATAGCATTACATCTCATTATTTTATTTTCTCAATCTAATTAAAAATGACAGAAGTAATCATATAGTCCCATGGATAAAGATAAATGTCATACACTATTCAGCAATTTTGAAAGATATTTGGCATGGATTTTAAAATTATTTTCTCTTGGGAATAAATGACTTGTGGTTCTTACATTTGAGACACTTTTAAAGAGATGTAAACATGTTAAGTTTTAAAAGAATTAATTCCATAAACACCATGATCAATGCATGAACTCTACCAGTCTCTCCATGTGAGCACCGTGAACTAAAGGAAACCATGAAAAGTCCAGCTTCCCCTACATGGATCCACATCGACCAGCACTGTGCTTGAAAGTTCACGGTCATATGCTGTGTGCGCCCAGTCCTTCCTACTCCTATCATTAGAACACATTTAGTATTTATCAACCTGCCTGCTGTGGTAGCAGCATAAGATACCCTTTAGAAAAAGAACTTATGCCTGCATACCATCCCCGAAAAATTCAGATCTAATTAGCCTGGGGGCTGTGCCAGTTATTTGGTATGTTATAAAGTCCCAGGGTATTCTGATGCACTGCCAATGATCAGAAACCCTGATCAGCTCATTAAGATTCAGAATAATCAATTGAATAATCTGTGAGTAAGATGCAGTAAATGCCTATAGGCCTTCTAACCATAACTCTTGATGGGATTTATTATAATTCCGTACTCTGTGCCTGTGGCTATGGTTCCCTTTTGGAAAGAGTTCTGTGTTATAGGATAAAACCCAAACTCACTCACTGCCACCCAGTGAATTGACACCCGTCGTGCCCCTATAAAGCCAGGGTGGAATTGTTCCTGTGAGTTAATGGATTCTCTCTCATCTCTCATCCCTCTCCCAAAGAGCAGCTGGTAGTTTTGATCTGCTGGTCTTGAGGTTAACAGCCCAACGCATAACCATTATGACATCGAGGCTCCTTTTACAGGACAAACCAAAAACTTAACTGTCATCAAGTCCATCTCCTAGGGACCTAGAGCACAGGTGGAACTGCCCCTGTGAGCTTGCGGGACGGTAACTGTAGCTCGACGGGGTGCATTTTCCTTCATTTCTGTTTGGGAAATGGTCAGCCAACAATAAACACAGTTCCATCCAAGCTATTCCTCCGGACCGTGGAACAGAGGGAGAGATGGGGTGACTTCCTGGTTTACAGAGGCAAAACCCAAGGGACCAGAAAGACTGAAGACCTGAGATAAGTTTCGCAGAGGAGAGGTGTTGCTGTGGACTGACTCCTACCAGGTAGCTGGGAAGCTGAGGCGCAGAGAGATTGTGTTGCTGGCTGAGGTGAGATGGCCTATGACTGTATTCGAACTGTTTACTGACCCTGACTTTGCGTAAGTTATCTATTAACTTCCCTCATAAACTCCATCAATCATGAGTCTGGTCTCCGAGTTCTTTATGATCATTATAAAAAAAAAAATGTATGGAACCCAGCATAGAAGTTGAGTGTCGTGGGAGGAATGGTTAGTATCAGAATAGGATAAAGAAGGATAGAAGGTAAAATCGTGGCTTACAGGCCCCCGCCTTACATGCTGGCTATCGCAGTGAGATTTATTTGTTATTTTTAAGTAAGTACTGCTTTTCTCTAAGTGATATCATCCCTTGTCACAGGTTATTTTCATATCTCTAATTGAACAGTAGAGCTCACTGAAAAACCATCAGATAATCTAATACTTGGACATCCACCGTATTGCAAAGTTCTATATTTCTCCCAGTGCGCTCACTATTTTATACTCGAGTAATTAACTACCCGTCAGTTGGTGTGGCAAATCCTTACCTAGCCTCAGGGCTGTTTTATTACTTCCAGCCTTGCTGGGTTCCTATCAGGAATGGTATCATTGACCTTCTGAGTTATAATGTGAAACACTAACAAAGCTAACCAGATGGTAATTATGGAGTAGTCATGACCCTCACCTGATTGGGGTTTGGGGACTCTATAGCAGTAACTACATAAAGTATTACCGTGCTGGCTAGTCTATTTAATAAAATGTGAAACAAAAATTGCAGCAATTATCCTATCATAATACAACCAAGTGCTTAAGAATGTTAAGTGATGCATTTTTAATGATCAGTTCCAAGCACCTAACCACTTATCTGCTTACTAATAAAGAACTAATGTATTTGAATATATAATGAATTTCTTCTCTCAGTCGGTCATCATTCTTATAAATATGTGGGAAAATATTTAATTAATGGATAAAAATTAATTATGCATGTTTAACCATAAGAATAACAATAAATTCTACTTAAACTTGAAGGTAATGAACAATTTGATTATAATTCCTCACAAAACAAACAAAAATCTCACTACTCCTAGAGAGGATCCCAAGCCCTCAAAATTCCATGTCAGCTCTCTCACACAGTCTAGAAATGTCATACTATACTAAGTAGTATTTAACATCTATAATCAAAGCTAATGCAGTATGACATGTTCAGTGCCGAGTTAACTACTATGCAATATGCATAGTGCTTTCTTTACCTAAGTCCATGTGAACCTGAAGGCGCCCTGGTGGCGCAATGGTCAAGTATTCTGCTGTTAATTGGAAAGCAGGTAGTTCAAATCCAACAGTGGTTCCATGGGGAAGATGTGACAGTCTGCTACCCTGAAGATTTGTAGCTTGGAAACCCTATGGGGAAGTTCAACTCTGTTCAATACACTTATTAAAAGTAGGAATTTACTCAACAACTGAAGGTGTAGGCTTGATTGGTATGTACAATGAATTCAAAAGTGCCTAGCAAATTAAATACTTTGATTAAAATTGAATAAAGTAAAATCACTTGATTTGTACAGTCAGTCACAATGTCAAAACAGCCAACCAATTCAATCAAGTATACAGTATTTTGAAAAGAAGAACCATCCAAATGCCTGTGAACACTATCTACCCCACAGTAAGTTGATAAGGATGAAGTGAGTAAATTTAAGAAAAGCACACAGCATAGTGCCAAGCACAGCATAAACTCTTGAAAGGGCTAGGTGATGCGTTATTGCAGTTAGTTAAGCAAAAGTCTTTTGGATTACTTTTACTTGTTTCATTTTATTGAATGATGGCACAAATAGAGAAAAAATACAATGTAAAGTTAATTCACATATGAGTCTTTCTAAAGGGGCGGGGTGTTATTAGATTTTGGTATCTACTAACTGAGAGCAGTTGTATCTCAGTGGTCAGATGAGAGTTGCTTGCACGTGTACTGAAGTGATTGATAGTGGCAGACGCATACCAAGGGCAAAGAGCCTTGCTAGTACACACGCCTTGGCTCCTCTCCTCTGCTTATGAAGGGTCTAGTAGTAGTTCTGCTGACCAGAGCTGTTTGTAGGGTCACTTGTAATGACCTTGCATTGAACTATGGAAGACATCAGCCTATCTAGGTTAGTGTGTATGTTTTTAAAAATGCTACTTATTTTTCAGTGAGCTACATTTAATTTTGCATGCTCTTTGACCCTAGGTGCTATATTTAAATAATTAGATACAAATCGCACATTTACTATAATGTAGCTTCATATCAAGTCCTGGTATGCTAATTCTAAAAAAAGGAAAAGTAAATGGATAAATAAATTGATTTCAGTACTCTTTGCTGTGGTGGTTTTATATTACCACACTCCATTCATAGCCACTTATAAAATGTTCTGTTACACTGGGCTTAGGGTAATTCCAACAGTTTTTTGTTTTGTTTTTTAACTCAGTATGGTCTTCAGCATCAAACTGTAATGTTTTCTCCCTTTATGAAATAGTAAAAATTGTCTAGTACCCAAAACACCCTTCTCCAAAAGAGATTGTACCTCTGAATATTTCTCAGCCACCTAACCCCCAAATAACTCATCCTTCTACCATTACCTCTTAGAACAACTTCACTGTAGTCCACTTATATCATATTAAATATACACATCATTTTTATAACATCTTGAGCTCTCTCAAATAGTCCTTACAGTTGGTTTAAATTAATTTCAAGTCTTCATCTCATCAGCCCTTCCCATTATATGTGGGGATTTCAAAATCCATTTGAACACCCCTTAAAATACCATGACCTTATTGTTTGCAAAACTATTCAGCTCTAATTACCTTTCACTTGATTTTAGCTCTCCATATGCACATACCCTTATTTGAAATTAATTATAAAGGCTGCTTCTGAAAATACAATTTCCTAAGTTTTTATTCTTTGTCAGTGATTATGAGTCCTTATTCTCACATTGGCGGCCTTGTTTGAGTACATAGTGGGCTACTAATTGCAAGACCAATTATTTAAATCCACCAGCAGCTCTGTGGGAGAAAGATGGGGCCATCTGCTTTACAGGTCTGATATTCTCACATTCATTCATCCCTTAAGGGGGGGCTTCATTCTCTCCTTCTCTTTCCTTCCCCCCTCTTCGCTCACTTTGATATTCTCACATTCATTCATCCTTTAAGGGGGGGGGGTTCTCTCTCTCTCTCTCTCTCT